CTATGATTGAGAAATCAAAGGCCCCACATCCTTACATTACAAAGTAGAGGAAAGAGTTGCTACCAATGTATGGATAAGGAAGGAAAAACAGTTCTAATGCTTCTAGAAAATGAACTTCAGTGGTCAAAAGAAACGATAAGCCTATCTAGCTAAACGGTAGAATTTTCATCTACTGTTAATAAGGTGAAGTTATCATTGTAACAGGAAAGGGCTGTGAAGTCCTTGTCCTGTCATTAATCAAAGAAATCAACAGAGAAGCACTTAATAAATAGGATCTCTTATCTAAAATACAGGAAAAAGGAAGCTGCTAGTTCCTGGGAACTGCCTTCACCTACCAGTGAAGAAGCTGAATACAACAGTGATCTCTTCAGTGCTGTTCCAAGGCAAAGAAAGTAAAGTACTTCCACATACGGGCTTCATAAAACTTGGCTATATGTGGAATCTGTTATTAAAAGTGCACAATTGCTAGCAAAAATTTTTAATCTTGTGTTAAGAATTCAGGTACTTTTTTTCTGCATTGGCTGTTTTAGTATTCACGTCTCCTGTACTGCTTTCTTTTTATTTCAAATATGAAAAATTTTATTGCTCCATGATCTGTATGAATTCCACTATGTATTTTCTTTTTTATGTTTATTGTAGAGATGATGTACAAAGAGGTTACAGTTATATAAGTGAGGTAATGAGCATATTTCTTTTTGAAGTGTCTCCTCTTCCTTCATTTTTCTAGCATTTTCCCCCTTTCCCCCCAGAAGTTTATAGTTCATTATCAGCATAGTGTCTAGTGAATATCATTGCTGCATTTGTTAATCCTTTTACCATTTCTGTGCTCCCTCTTACCCTCCCCAAAACATATAAACCTACATATAAGACAAAGGGTAGAGAAATCAAAAACAGTGACAAAGGAAACACACACACACACACACACACACACACACACACACACGAAGCAAAATAACATAGAACTCCTTGTTTCCATTTCTTGGAGTTCATTTCTATAAGCATCATTTTATATGATCATATGTCCATACCTACTGAACCTTTGTGATCCTCTCCTAAGAATATCTTCCTTTGGTCTCATTGTGTTAATGTCTAAACAAGACCACACTAAAGCTACCAGCACAGCCATGTACATTACAGCACTGTTTACCATAGCCAACATGTGGAAGGAATCAACCCAGATATCCCTTAGCAAACAAATAGATCAAGAAAATGTGGTATACGGGGCTGGGAAGGTGGCTCAGTGGTAGAGCACTTGCCTTGCATGTATGAGGTCCTGGGTTCAATTCCTCAGCACCACATAAGCAAAAAGAAAAAAGCCGGAAGTGGCACTGTGGCTCAAGTGGTAAAGCACTAGCCTTGAGCTAAAGAGCTGAGGGACAGTGCCCAGGCCCAGAGTTCAGGCCCCACAACCGGACCCCCCAAAAAATGTGGTATACATACGCAATGGATTGTATACTTCTGTCAGAAAGAATGATATTATACCATTCATAAGGAAATGGAAAGACTTGGAAAAAAATTATATTAAGTGAAGTAAGTCAAAGCCAAAGAAACATAGGCTGCATGGTTTCCTTCATTTGTTGCAACTAGAAAGTGCCTATAAATCTACTGGATGGTAAAAGACAAAAACAATACACTTGGACTAGATAGCCATCCTGTACTGCTTTCTAGTAAGTTAGGAATGAAACAGGAGACAGGTACAGAATTGAGAAATGCAAGAGAAATAATACTATACAACAAAAATGAATAATGTACCTAAATTCCCCTTTGTTTTTAACAGGCAAGGAAATAGCAATGCTTCATTTTATTCTTATTACCTAACACTTCACACTTGCAAAAGGATTTTACAGTTATTTTTATGTTATTTCTCAATATATTTTGACAGAGGTTTAGAACCTCTGTTAGTATACTTAACATAATTTCTTTTTTTATGTTTTTATTGTAAAGATACTATACAAAGGGGTAACATTTACATGAGTAAGGTAATGAATACATTTACTATCAAGCATTGTTACCCCCTCCTTTGTTTTTCCCCTCCTATTCCTTTCCTCCCTCCCCAACTCCTACTCCCGTCCTGAAGTTGTAAAGTTCCTTTTCAACATAATGTCTTGTACATCTCATTGTTACAATGGGTCCACCTGTATCCTTGTTTCAGCATTTTGTTATTTCTGTTCCCCTCCTAAACATCATTTCTATAATGCTATATCAGACGCTTCTTCCAAAAAGGAAGGTACAATGGAGAAGAGAAAGAGGGAGTGAATGCAATCAAGAATTCACAGAATTAAGAAGAGTGAGGGAAAGGGTGGATTAGGGAGGGATGGGTGAAAATGTTGACAGGGGTGATATTGATCAAGAAGCAGCATTGTATTCACAAACTGCTTTATTAAATGGCAACTTCTTTGTGGAACTCTTAAAGTTAATAAAAAATTATGAAGTCTGGGCCAGTGTGCTACCAAGATAGCCTTTTCAGTTACAATAATCGTTCCCTTTGTTGTATGGATAAAACACACTACAGGTTGGTTGACTATGTGTGTGCTGGAGCTCCAACACAGAGCCTTGTGCATACTAGATAAGCACTTTGTTACTGAGCTACCTTCTCAACCATTGAGTTTTTTAAATTAAGACTATATGGACACAATTACTCCCCCATTGTATTCAATGTTATTTTTTCTCTATATTCAGTCTTATTTAAAATATTTGTTGTAACACCATACTTAATCCTTTACATGAGCAAAGATCACCTCCCTTCAGAAACCTCACAAAAACTCTAAGTGTACTCCTTCTAAAGTGTTTCCAAAATCATTTTCCTTTGTTATACAATGTGTATAAATAGTGTAGCTCCCTTATCAGGGAAACCCATGTGTTTCTGTCTGTGGAATATTATCTTTGAAATAGATGTTTACCTATGAGACTCCTTGAGAGACATTTGCTCATGATAAGTCTATAGAGTATTCTAAGGTTCAGCATAACCAATCTCAGGTGTTAGGAGATTGCTAGTCAACTTTGCATGAAAACAGTCATTCAATAAATAAGCAGACCTCAAGCTAGGAAGACTGTCTCTCTTTCCTTTGCCTGTGATTTTTACCTCCTTGTCAAATTAGCTTAGCACTTCTGAATGATGTTTGATGGTTAACCTCTCTCTGAGTAAGGTTTAAACTGAACACAAGACTTTCTATAGGTATTGTTCATAATGCTTTAATCAGTCTTTTGGCCTTTACTGTAGGATTTCAATAACTAGCTAATTGGTTGCAACATTAGCTATTTGGAAAAGTAGGTAGATTTGTCAATGACTACCATTTATTAGTTGTATTCACAATCTCCCTGTTCCTATGTTCTTCCTACTTTTCTCTTGGAGATCTTTTGTCCTCTTTCCCTTCTTCCATGGATCACTTTATGTAGGCTTTCCAAATTGATCAATTATCAAATAATTGATTCTTTAGTTTTATTTTAGCTCTAGTTTCTGAAAAATCTTTAAGATACAACTTGATTATTCACTTAGGTATTTAAATCACTATAGATGGTATGTTCATCAAACAGAGAATAAAACATTTTAAGATATCTTTTTTTTTTTTTTTGGTCTGGTCATGGGGCCTGAACTCTGGGCCTGGCCGCTGTCCCTCAGCTCTTCAGTCAAGGCTAGCGCTCTACCACTTGAGCCACAGCGCCACTTGCACTTTTTTCTTTCTGCTTATGTGGTGCTGAGGAATCGAACCCAGGGCCTCAGGCATGCAAGGCAAGCGCTCTACCACTGAGCCACCTTCCCAGCCCCATTTTAAGATATCTTTAACTTATTTTTTTTCTATCTTCCTCTTCCTTAATCTCACTGTGTGGATTTCTCTACTCCTTCACTGCAAGCATGGATAGTGGCATCCAGGGAGTCCTCTCGATACAGTGCCTGGACATTGTTACTTCAGGTTTTGCTGGGCTAAGCCAGCTCCTAAATGTATCATTTCAAGTACCACCTCACAAGTCTTTGCTCTTCTTCTGCTCTGATGTGCAAACTCATGTCCTGTTTCCATTATTTTAAAGATATTTCGGGGAAAAATATTTTTAAAAGGAGCAACAATCTGCCAAAATATAAAACTGCTTAAAAGACATGCAGTGGGAAAAAAAAATCAACTTTCAACTCTTGTTGGTTTTCAATGTATGGCTTTGATTTATGGATCAAAATTGCTCATTTATTATTTTATCTATACAGCTCTGGGCCATTTTGACAGTTAAAATTTAGTTTTATTGACCAGTGCAGCCACTGTGCCCATGAGGGGACTGGTGCACACAGCTTGCTGCACTTAGGAAACGATGATTTTTGATTCCATGACTGAGTCAGATTGGGAATCATAACCGATAAAACACTAAGTTCCAAATCTGAGTGCCCAAGGCAAGAGGTTCGCTGTAAAACACAATCACCCTTTAAGGGGAGAAGGGGAGGAGGAAAATAGCTGAAAGTTTTGCAAGCACAATTTAAGGCAGCTGGGACAGACCACAAATATATCTGTTCATCCAAGCTGTGAAGTAGTATAAGGAGTCAGCTCCCCAAGAACCCCATCCCCTCCAGACTATAGATTAATGAAGAAAAATACCTAAATACCAAAATAAATGTTCATTACAGAGTCAATGAACTATACAACCATTTTAATGTGAGAAAACTTAACAGCGCTAGTAAACAACCCTTCATTTTCCTATCAACAACACAAAAGTGAATGATTTTGGGGACCATCTTTAATCACCCTGTTCCTCCCCTATCCATTTCAATACATTCAGACACATAAACCAGCAGAGTTATTTTTAGGCCAGTATTATCAAGCCCATTCAACCACCAAACTGACCAGCATTCTCATGCCATGTTAATTTGGGCTTTTACTCTAAATGCCCCTGACACATAAACAAAACTCTAAAAGCTAGCACAGCAATAAAATGTCTGATTTGATTAATCATATTATCAATTCATCAAGAGAGCTGGTAGCCTTAGATAAATAGGAAAGTAAATAAACAATTGCACTTACTTGTGAGTATTTTCCATGTCTTCTTTTCGTCGTCATAATATTGAACCAAATTGCTGGGTAGCCGGTCCGGTCCGGGAGGTAACCCTCCAACCAATAAGAGCATTTTCTTGTTAGAGCGAATTCTTCACCCAAAACAAAAAAGGAGATGAATAACCACATTATTAGAGAGTCTTTTTAGTGGCAAAAAAATCATAACCATCAAAAAGAATGTTCCTTTCTCGCAGATTTCGATTTCATTTTTTTTCCTGTTTCTTCTCCCAATCATGTCTCAACAGTTCTTTTTTGAACCAAGCAGAAAAATGATTAGAAAAGCTGCATATCCCTCTACTTGTGGAATAATAAGCTCCTTTTATGCAATTTGTTAGAGGTTCATTCTAGAACGACCTTTTTCTTATATTATCCCTTTAAATCATCACTCTTTACAGCTGAATACACATGAAATGCTCTGGAGTTGTACTAAGGTTAAGCATTAAAGTTGCATGTCAAAAATCGTATTAGTCAAAATCATTATTATAAGCCATTCGCCACTCAAAGAACCTTGAAAAAATTAAGGTTAGGCAGAGTTTGTGAACCAACTCTTTAATCACCCAGGGAACTTCAAAGACCAGTTTGGTACAATTAGTAGCATGGGGCTAACTGAGGTGGGTTAACCAATTTGAATATGAAATTTTGGTTTGTGGAATTGAGCTTTGACTTCTGCCTCTATCCATCCACCCTGCCCCCCTCAACCACTCCGGCTCACCCTCCCCTCTGCTCTCCCCCTGTGCACCACTGGCGATACAGCAGCACCAATTGGTAAAAATGAGACTGTGATGTTGTTGTGAGCCTCCCCAGAGTGGAGCCCTGCCAATGCTTGCCACTGATCCAGCGGCATGAACCTGCTCAACTGTGCAAAGTCACTCTAATTCCCTCCCTCTGTTTTTCTACCTTCTCCCCCAGGGGGCAACCACTGAAAGGAGTGACTACCCACCCATCAAGAGCTGGCAATTCGCTGCTATTAACCGTGACTGTGATTCCCAGTCTGCCTGGCAGTTCCTGAGAACAGGCCCGCAATGTCTCATATGCAGTAAAAAGCTATAAGATGCACCCTGGCCAGCACATGCGACCTGATGGATGTACAATCCTCAGGAACAGTAATGGATTGAGCGCACTTGCCACTGAAGCAGGGAGAGGAGGCCCAGACCCCCACAAGGGGCCTGCTGATTTAACAGTCACTTTACATATAATTGAACTTTTCATTTACCTGAAAGGCTCAAGGTGGTGGCAGAAGAAACGGAACAACCGTAATTGAAGGAGGGGGAAAAGTCAATAAATACGAAAGGGTTTCTCTTAAATATGATCACAACCCATAGTGGAGCTCTGAATCTACTACATATTCAGCCTGTTTTGATTCAAGGATGCTTGGCAAAACAGGCTCCATGGAGAAGCGTTGTTTGTTGATTAAGAACTTAACATTCAGAGAGTTAACTTCATACAGCTAATGACACTTCCATATGACAGAAGGGAATGGGAGAATTCTTTTAATAAAATGCTGGTGTTGTTGAATGCATTGTGTATGTCTCAGGTGGAAAAATACCTTCTGGAGAAACCAGGTTACAGACGTATCAATAGAGGGAGCTGTACTTATAGGGGAGTGACTAAGGAAATAGCGGCTGGCAACATTAATTTGGCCATCCTGAGGATATATAGTTGAATGGAAAAAAGGAAAACCCCAACAATATACATTTAATGAATTATTGACCCATATGTCTTAGTGACTACTCATTGGTAAGCAAAAACAAAATATAACAAAGATCTCTGTACATTGAAGATTTCAATAACTAGTTTTCTGAGACAGGTTGAGGAAAACCACTGCACTTTTTTCTTTTTCTTTCTTTTAATTTGGTTCGGTGTTGTCCCAGAGTTCTTCAGCTCAAGGTGAGTGCTCTACCACTTGAGCCATGGTGCCATTTCTAGTTTTGTGGTGGTTAATTGGAGATAAGAATCTCACAGACTTTCCTGCCCAGGCTGGCTTTGAACCGTAATCCTCAGATCTCAGCCTCCTCAGTAACTAGGATTATAGGGGTGAACCACTGGTACCCGGCTAGCACTCCTTTTTTATTTACATACAGTATACGTACAATTCATGGGCCATATAAGTTTGTAAATATGTAGTCACAGAGCTAATATATAGGGTTATTTTTTCACGTGCTTTTTGCACAAATAACCAAATATTGTATTTGTACAAAAAAAGTCAAGATGAAAGCAGATTGTTCTTTTAGTTTTCCATAATTTAACACTTGTAGACAGAGCTATTCAAAATGAAAGACATGATCCTGTGGCTATCTTTGCATCATATGCATCTGTACTGCCAGATTGCAGATAGGAGAAGGTAGACCAATATTGATGGGAATAAACAAAGAGTGAAGGACTTACTGAAATTGTGCTTGTGAGAAAAGCAACATAGCAATAATAAGTCTCTGTTTTAATGAATACATACACTGCTTAAAAATGTGTTTCATGAATTACAAAAGGAGATAAATGGATGGCTCAGATATATTTGTAAAGCCATTTCATTCGCTGATAAAACCAACTTCCCAGGATCAATCTCAATGGCAATTTTCCACTCTGACTTAGATAGGCCATCTCTGTGGGTAAGTAAAGGATCTAGAGTCATTGTGCTCTCTGTCCAAAGAGCCAACCATTTCCATCTGTCCTCTAAGAACTGGACTGAGATTTTCAATACATAAACCACTGAACAGTTGGCAAATGGTTTCAGCCTCCATCCGAGCCAACAATGACATGATTCAGGGCTAGCTAGCCAGCAGCACTGAAAGACTTCACATCACTAAGTCAAATTTCTAAGCCATCTACAGGCTCCATAGAAGAAAATTACATGGAGGAATAGGAAAACACACCCACTCTCACTAGAATGTGTTTTCAACTGAGGAACAGTGCTGTGAATATATTATGTGTGGCCCTCTTAGTCAGTGAAGACACATTTCAAATCTTTTCCATTGTTATATTTATGTCATTATTCATTCAACTTTTATGGCACTGTATTTGGAGTATTTGTCACTAAAGCTTGTGCTATTCAATTTTCTAGTCCAGCATCAATATTATTTAATTCTAAATAAGGTTTAAATTTCTATTTTGTGCTCAACCACATAGAAGACAAAACTGGGATGAAGCTCTTGAGAAATTGCATGACACAGAGAAATAACACATAAAATAGCTAAATACATTTGAGTGGGTTTCTCACCATATTTTAGAGGGTTTTGACTGTCAGAACGGCCAATTGTCTAACTCTGCATTTTATAAAGAGGTGAGAAAAGCCGGGCACTGATGGCTCACGCCAGTAATCCTACCTACTCAGGAGACTGAGATCTGATCTGAGGATCTCAGTTCAAAGCCAGCCCCGGCAGGAAAGTCCATAAGACTCTTATCTCAATAAACCACTCAAAAACCAGAAGTGGTGCTGTGGCTCAAGCGGTAGAGCGCTCGCCTTGAGCTGAAGAGCTAAGGGACAGCACCCAGGCCCAGTGTTCAAGCCCCATGACCAACCAAAAAAAAAAAAAAAAAGAGGTGAGAAAGAAAGCACATACTTGTGAACTATATAAAATGAAGAAACTTTCGGGATTCAAATAAAGGGATCTAAGAGAGATTACTCCACATTTCTTATTGCTTAAGAATAAATGAGAAAACCCATCCCATATTTTACTATGATAAAAATGCAGTGTCAACTATTCAATTATTCCTACAAAGTAATACATGTGAATAATTCTATGGAAAAGCTTTCATTCTTTTCACAATGTGCAATTATAATAGCAACAATGACATTAATGACAGATAGAAATGAATGTGTATTGGGTATTGAGTCCTTGATTATCATGCTATTTATTTGATGTATGTGAACCTCAATTTGTAAACTCCAGGAATAAAAGAAAAATATGAATTGGAAAAATAAAATCAAGACAATCTGAACTAACTGTTCTGAAGGAGGTTTCAATTATTCTTGTCCAAATAATTCCAGCAACGCTTTACAGGTTTCACTTTAGATTAGGTAACATCTAAACATGTAGTCTCTTTGCAATAATTAGAGTGCCTTTATTGATACAGTGGTATGTTGTTTTTTCAGATACTCTTTACATAGGGAACCAATTTAGCCAAAATTAATATGTTCACTTCACAGCTTTTATTCTTTAACAATTACTCCATTCATTCCTCTGCTTAACTCCAGTAGAACAAAGTAATGTGTTTAAAAGTGAGAAAATTAAACAAAAGCTGAGTGTGTCAGGATTAACAATACTATTGGGATAGCTTGGAGTTCTTGGAGTCTTACATCCCTCAAACCTTTTTAATCTTATGAGTTAAAAAGGCAATGGAATTTGAAGGTCTCCTTTGTTCCAGCTCAGTAGTTGCCCAACATTTACCATGTGTCACATTCGGGTGTGCGTGCCTGTGCTAACATGCATACCTACTCTGGTTCCTGGGATGAATGATTGAAGGATGACCTAAAACTTGGGGCTGTAAACAAATTTGTCTTCATACTGGTGTTCTAAGTATGGTAAAGTCTCATTTATTTTTATTTCAGTGGTCTGGAACTTGCATAATTGGGAAACAGGCCAGATAAAGTTTATCCTTTCCATGACATATGAAAAAAAGTTTTTGTTCACCAGGCTGAAAGAAGAGTTTTAACCTATTTAGGAAATCAGCAAGTCTGTAGGTACAGTAGGGCTAGGCTACCTATGTGCATTTGGATAAAATATGTAAAAATTAAGCAAATGTGCATACAAGTTTATCTAAGTATACAAATGTGAGACAGATATGCAAATGTATACAAAACATGTACAAAATTCAGTATAGATTATAAATAATTTTCATTCATTTATATAAAAAAGGTATTCTGCAATGCTCTAAGAAACAGTAAATCCTAACATTTGAAGGAAACTTTGAGGCAATCTAGTTCAGCAATTTCCAAGACAACAAGTTAACAGGTTTGTCTGAGGGGATTTTAAAAATCAGATTCTTAATAAAATGATCACTTCTCAACTCTCACAGATGATGACTCAAGGGGTAAGGGGTCTTAAAATCCAGTTCTGTTTCACCCTCTGCATTGATCTTAACACATGGCACAAGGTGA